GCACACTCATTTTCAAATTGAAAGTCCATGATTGCATATTCTTTAGACACACGGGTGCAACCATTAATAATTAATCGTCTCAACAACTTCAGCTCCAATTCAATTACCTGGTGGAATAAATTGATACAAATCAAACATGTTAAGTATGAAATAAAATTAATTTTTATAAATAAACAGTACTGACCGTAATATTTATATCTTTTGTTCTATCCAATAAAATTTTCAACCAATCTCTTTCATAGACGTTCCCAATGACATCTTCCAAATATGCACTGCATAGCATAATTAAAATTAAAGTTGAATAAATCAAAATAAAATTGTAGTATTTAAACCAATAATAAAAAATCATCTTTCTAACCTTGATTCGTTCTCCGCTATCCAGTTTCTAAGAGTCGAGTATTTTTGCATAGAATAGTCTTCCAAATGACGTCTTCTAGACAACGAAAGTTGTATTTGTTTTCCCTTCTTTTTCTTCTCTCGTTGTGATATTTCAGAACTTTCGACTTGTTGAGACGTTGATACATCCTTCGGTCGATCATCGAAAATTGGACATGTACCAATAGGAATGTCTTATTGCGTACAACTAATAATGGCATTCCATGTCTGACTTTCATTCAGATAATTTCTGCAGCGTATTTTATTTTGTTCATCGACATAATATCGCATGGAATCTAAACTGGTGTCTACATAAGAGTGCATGGTCTGGTAATGGTTTTCTTGCCATTTTTGCTGTTGTTGGAATAATTGTTCCTCTTTCTCCAAATGTGTGTTAAAAAAACTTGATAATGGGTTATCCATGTAGGAACGCATAGTAGATTACATATAATCCTCCTGCCATTTTTGGTGTTGTTCGAACAACTTTCTTTGATTGTCATAAACTTCTGTTCTCAAGTTGCCACATATATCAAATACCTCTTTTATTATGTCTTGCTTCTGGACACTAAGTAGTTCTATCATCCGGTCTTCAATTACATAATTAGAGGTGCTAGATCCAAAATTAGGCCCCGCTACGGGTGAAGTTCTTGACGTACTAGGAATGGTCGTCTCTGGCACATATATATTATCCCTTTCTTGCTCAAAAGTATCCTTTGGGATTTGTTGTGTCACGTTGTCTAATTCTCCACCGACGATGCCATCTAATACACGATGTTCATTATCAGTTGGCAGTGAAAGATTTATATACCAAGATGTCTCCAATTCTTCCTCCGTAGAATGTAACGTTGAAATAACCTGAATCTGTAATTTTAATAAAATATCAAAATAATTTTTTCATTTTGTTTTTAAATAATTAAGGACAAATGTAGTTATATATTCATTAAAAGAAATCGTACCTCTCGAGTAGCCAGAAAATGCTTAATCGTTTTTTCAGTCAGCATTTTATTAGGCCTCCACTTATATATTCGTGGATTCTGTGCTGTTTTATATCGATGCCGTTCAAATTTTTTTCCAATTTTTGAAAATGCCTCATAAATCTAATACTGTATTGCAATTACAAATTACAATTATTTTTCTCTTATAAATAAATTAAGTCAACAAAAGAAAAAAATATTAATAAAATACCTGAAATGCAAGTGGATACCCTCGTAATGCATACTTACAATCTATTTGTTCGTTCCGTTGCACTCTTTTTGCTCCTTGTAATTGTGATTTTTGTAGTGAATTTAACAAAACAAAAAAAACCTTTTCGACCCCAAGGATATCCAAGAAATTCATCAAGATGCTCGACCATACCAAGAGTTTTGTAATCAATAATTCTTCCAACTGGTTTTATAACACATTCCACCAACATAACTAATCCCAACTTAAATTTATCTACTAAGTCTTCACATTCATGGAAAACTTCAAATAGCATTTTCATGCTAATTCTTTGGCTGCCATTCAAATAATGATTTCTAAGACGATTGTTACTATGATCAATCTCCATAACTGGTTCATGACAAGGTAATCCAGTGATAAGACAAAATTCTTGCATACCAAATCTAGCAATACGATCATCTAATTTTACCCATACTTCGTTACTTTTACCACAGTCAACAAGCCGCATTACGAATTCATGTATTAATCTACTACTAAATAGCTCTTCCTCTTCTCTATAAATAATTCCAGAAAAAAAATTCATAAAAATTACTACACATTATAGAACGTTGTTGATTTACATCTATAAAATCTATAAAGTCTTTAAGATATTCCCGAATTGGATATTGAGTAATAGTAGCAGAAAACCATTGATTTGGAGACAGTATATATTCCAAAGACATTTGCATAAATAATTTGAAAACAAACTATTTGTGAACAAATTTAACAATTCTAAATAAGCACCGAAATAATACTTATACAAATCCAAAAATACAGGAATAGTAGAAAAAAATACAAATTCAAAAACCTTCGTGCGGAGGGGGAACCCCCTTGCACGAAGGTTAACCTACATGCACGAGGGTTCCCCCTCCCCCTCCACACGGAGGTTCGAAAACTCCGTGTACGGAGGTTAACCTCCGTGCACGGGAGTCCTCCCAACTTTAAAATTTCACTTGTATAAATATAAAGCTAAAAATCTAAATACTTACCTTTTGCTATGGATGATGCTTGCTGAAATATGGTTGACTTTGATTTTAGGTAGAGAATGAAGATTTTGGGATATAAAAGGAATGGTATAGATAATGATAAGATATAAATGATATGTGTGGCAGTAAAAAGTCTTCTACACAAACAAAATATTCTTTTTTCACTATTTATTATACATATACATATTTCGATATTATTTAAATTAAATGAATTGATCTATAGCATCATTTCTTTTTCGACAAATAAATATAAAATGTAAATATTTCTTCCGATATTATTTAAACTAAATCTTATCTTCATTCATTAAAACAATTCAAAACTATTTCTATATTTATAAGTACAACTTCACTTCTCCATGCTATATATTAAATGTCTGGCGTAGTCCTCATATGTTTGCCTTTTCAAAACTGTCACGTTTTCAAATTTTAATAAAATAAATAATAAGAACTAATAAAATAATCTTATATTCCATTACAGTCATATCTTTGTACTATAAATGAAATTTGAAAGTAATCTCCATATCTTATGCTAGTGATTATATAGTAACGTATGACTATTTAGATAATAAGGTATGACTGTTGATGAGATTTTACAATGTAAATTATTTTATTTGTTTTAACCACAAAAAAGAAAAGTTTCATATTTAGTCTTTCCTTTTTTTTAGTTATTTATTCCATCTTTAGATGTTTCATTTTTTACAACTGACACATGAACACATAAATACTTTAACAACGTCCTTCCAACATCTTATACCCAACATTAAAATATTTATTAAGCCACTATATCTCAATTTTTTTTTATAAATAGGCTAACACAAATCTTCAACTTCACATCTGCAACTGCAAAAACAAAAAAATTATCGTTACCATTTAGAGTTTCCTATTTTAAGAAATTTTAACTTCTACTCATACTGTCTTCTTCTTCTTTTTCCTACATATCAACAATTGCTATAACAAAATGACTGCACCTCGTAAATTCATTCTACAAATTTTAACTTCAGAAACCAATTGGTTAGCAAAAGTGATCGTCGCAGGAAAACAATCCCCCAAAGACTGCTCGGAATTCCAATAGCCGTTATCAAAATCTTACTCTCATGGATTTAGAGGTACAAATATAACTCTCATTTCAATAAATTTTTACCTATCATTATACTTGTATACTTTTTAAATGTTCTCATATTTTTCTTTTTTTGAACAAGGAAACAAAATCACAGCAACAATGTATGATGCCAATATCACTGCACTAAACGATCAGTTCGAACTTGGAAAAACATACATTGTGTCAAATGCAACAGTTAAAGATTTCAAAAGTGAATTTCGAAATTCTCCTGGACAAGAAATGTGGAATATAACAGGAAGAATAAAGGTTGAAGAATTATATGAAAACAATTTGAATCTCCTATTCTCAAAATTTGAACTTACTGTGTTTGATCAACTAGAGAGGCATATAGACAAAAATACAGACATAAGTAACTGCATTACATTTAAACAAATCATTTCATATGACATTTCATAATTTATTTTTTACGTACAAATTTATTGCATACAAAATGACATATAAAATATTTCATAATTAATTTTTATATTCAAAGTTATTGCATGCAAAATGACATATAAAACAATATTTCATAATTAATTTTTACGTTCAAAGCTTCTATAACCTTGTAGGCGTGATGGGTGTCGCTATAGGTGTTTAACAGAAACGCCTTATTCAAACTAACTTTGGTACAAAAGCTTATCTACAAGATGCAGTCTTGATAGATAAAGAATTCAAAATTGTTATACTAACATTATGGGATACCTTTGTCGAAAGAGAATGCACTTCGCTAATTGAACATCTTCCAAATAAACTCGTGATATGAGCTACAAATCTCAAAGTTTCTTCGTTCAACGGTAAATTTCTCTTACAAATACAGTTCCATCTATAATATTTTTTTTTTCATGTAAGATATTCCTAATTTCTTTTGTACAGGCATCACACTCTCGACCAAAGTAAATAGCAGTTTTTTCATTAATATCCAAATATATACTGTTAAGGAGTACAAAGAATGATAATACAACATACCTAATATACATATTGCTTATTTACGTACCTTTAATACAAAAAAAACAAAGGTTCTATTTTATAACTAAATTTATCGTTATTTCTTGTAGGGTGGAAGCTAACAAAGAAGCACTTGACAAATTGACGGGAAATAAACTACTGATAATGAATTGACACCGATTCATGATTTATTAGGAGTGTATCTAACGGTACTTCTATACTAATATAAACTGAATATAATTAATAGAAACACATTCTCTTTAATTTCACAATAAATATTATAGTAACATTATGTATTTTTCTCAGTCGTATCCTTTTATCTAATTACATGAGACATCTCCTTTAACAGAAGAAATTCTACTGGGTGAATGCACGCTGAAAAATAGCTTCAAAAGATAAAAAATTTTGGTATATGTCTTGTAACAACTGCAAGAAAACTTCCAACGCGAACTTTGGAGAAATTCATAAATGTCGATTATGCAAGTACGAATACTCAAAAGCTGTCCCAAGGTAATTTCTTCTATTAAATATTAGTTCAAAAATTTACTAATTATTACTTCAGGAACAAGGTACATAATACATGGCTAAAAAAAAAAAGCATTCTTTAGGGTAAATGCTTTTGTACAACTTGAAGACAAATCTGGTTCGTTAGATGCAACCATCATAAGAGATGCAGCAGAAGTGTTACTGGAAAGTAGCGCCAATGACTTAATGAACCATCTTCAGAAGGTAAAACATCATGTTCAACATCTTTCGAAGATGCTTTCTTTCTTAACAACAAACATGCCACTCTATTGAAATATATTTCGTCGACCACAGGAAGGTATTAAAGAATTCAATGACGTTGTCAAATTGGAAAGTGATACAGAGCTACTCTTTTACCTCAAGGACACAGAAAAGCGACACGATCCACCTGAGTATCGCTTTGAAATCATATTCGTGTTCAACTCCTCCACGAAAAATCAAGTTGATTCCTCAATTGTTACAGAAGATGCAAACATGCAAATTGAAATGGAAAAAAATTCCAACAACAAAGACGTAAAAGGCAAGAACAAGGTGTCCGAACAACCCGATGACATTTCCACCATTACTGAAGAAATCAATTCGCCGCATGCAAAAAGGTCTCTCTTCCAACCATCAAATGTACCTATTGAAGCAGAGTCAAAACCCAAAAAAGGACTCACGCAGGCTCCAAAATCGATGACCGAACCATTGGGATCACCTCAAAAGAAAAACATGAATGAATAACATTTATGATACTTTTGCGACTACTTTTGTGACAGTAGACAGTAATCAATATTCTATTTTGTATTTCTGGAAAAAGTAACATGATCTGTCTATATCTTTGTCTATGTACAAGATTTCAGATTCCACCGAATAGCAATAAATTACTACTCTTGAAATTTAAAGTTTGTTGTACGTGTATTACTTTCCTTTTTCTCCTTTCCATTGCAAAATCAATAAAATATTACTATATTAAATCATTCCATTTCAAAATTAATATCATAGCTTACATCCAATGATTCTATTTTTAACTAATAAATTCACTTTTTCTTTAAACAGTAAACTGATATCAACATTAAAAACTAAACAATTTTCAACATTAAAAACGCTAACATAATGCTCAACAGAATCCTGCCCGTGCAATAGACTAGTATATTAAGAAAAGACTTGACGTTCCGTCTTAAAAAGTCAATCTGATTTGGTATTTATATTTAACACACTTTATTAGATGATAATTCGTTTGATTAATACTAAGCCTCTCTTTTGTAGAAATTAAAATTAATAAAATTAAGTCAAAGTTAACAACTAATTGCAATCATATATTTCATGGGATTTATAATTTTTCAACCATACATTTCATCAACTTTTATAAAAAATTTCTAAAAATCTAATTTTAGATCCCACCAAACAGGGCTATCTTGAAATTTGTGTTAGTTTAAATTTTAATCAAATCGAATTGCTTATTGAAGTTTAATAAACTATGATGTTGTATTAAAATGTAGAGGGTTCTATCTTAAAAGGTCGAACTTGGTAAAAGGAGTCAGTCAGCGTCTTATATAGAACAATCAGATTGTCTAAGTTTTAGAAGTCAAGCTATAAAATCTTATTTCCTTCTTTTTTCGTTGATCAATTGGTGGTTCTTAAAGTTTAGATTTTTCTTTCGTCTAAATGACAAAATGAATTTAGAATGATTTCTCTTCTCAAATGGAGATGAGGATAAGGAAATTGCAAGTGCAAAATTTTGTCATACTTACCTTCAAAGTTATTTGATACGATTAGCTTAGAGAAAGTTGGGATAATGCAAAGGTTCCTTTAGAGGACAGGTTTGTAAGGAAAAGTCTTCTTTTTTGGCATTTCTAGTATTATAAATAATAAGTGCTGCAATTGCATGCTTGTGCATTATATGATTTTAGTCCAGAATTTTCAGAAGTTTATTTCATTCACTGTGGAGTGTATCCCGGATAATCACGAACAAAGCTTTCTTTTGCATAAAATAAAAGCGTCGAAGTATGACCTCCTCTTTGTGATCGTCTTGCCACGAGTGATCATGTGACTTTAGCGACGTGTCATGTTCAAAGTGGTATAGAATTTGTGCTACTGACATGGCTTCCACAGTCAAGGGGCATTTCTGTCAATTCATTAGTCGTCGCAATCAATCATGTTAATTTTGGTTTTTGTTAACTATATTTCCTCAAATCCCGTCCCTCGTATGAATTTTTGTTTCTTTACGCGCACAAATGTCTAAATATTCTCTTGCTAGCTCCTCAATTCTCAATGACATCACCACCACTTATTGAATTATTTCTTATTTTCTTATATTTATTTTGACATGATCACATATCCATATCAACGGACCTCCTCATCTTCTTTCCATTTTATTAGACACATCATTGTAGTCAAACACAGTAACATTCAACAAATTAACCAGCCTAATCATTGTTTCCTAAAATTAACATTTTAACGTTATAGACATCCACGTCGCACATAATTCTCATAACACCTTTTTATTGTATCCAATCCACTTGTATCTTGTTATAAAATTAACAAGAAATTCTTATAAATAGAACATATTGTATTAAAAAAGCTTTCTTATCATAGTAGATATGGCTGTAGTAATATTTTTTTATCATTCATTGAAATTATACCAATTAAAGTAACAATAAGTCCTCTGGTTCATTATCCTAAGGATCAAAGTGCACGATAATTTTATTGAACAATGAATCAATGAATTCATTGTCATCTAAATCAATTGTAATTTTTATTAAGATTTGGGGTCCATTTTAATAAGATTAATCTTATTAAGAGAAGTGACTCAATATCTATTTAAGTTGGTCAATATTTCGATATTTAATCGATGTAAAATTTATTCCCATAACATGCCCCTGTAAGATAGTGGCTCTTTTTTAGCAAACCAATTTTGAAATTCATGTGCTCATTTTTTAGACTTTATCGAATCGAATAGTTCGTTGGAATTTACTGAGCTCTGATATCAA